TTCCCTGTACTCTTATCATTCAGGCAATTTACAAGGGTTTTAGGAGCTCTCTGTGGGAACTTGGGGCAGAGACCAATATAAATCTCTTATTATCTCACAGTAGTGAGAAACTATGTCTTTTAATTATATATATTTTTTAGCTCATCCTTCACTTTCAATTTTACATACGTATTTTATTATAATATAAAAACTGCTATAACAAATCAGCTAAAATTAACTTCATCAGTAGCCAATAGGGTACTATTTAATGTTTATCTACTTTTGACAGAGAGAGGGAGGGAGTGGAGGATGGACACAGAGACCGGGAGACAGAGAATCCCACGCAGGCTCCATACGGTCAGTGCAAAGCCTGACATGGGGCTCTATCCCATGAACTGTGAGATCGTGACCTGAGCGGAAGCCAAGGATTGAACGCTTAACCAACTGAGCCACCCGAGGCGCCCCTATAGGTGGTTTTTTTTTTTAATTTTTTTTTTAACGTTTATTTATTTTTGCGACAGAGAGAGACAGAGCATGAACGGGGGAGGGGCAGAGAGAGAGGGAGACACAGAATCGGAAGCAGGCTCCAGGCTCCGAGCCATCAGCCCAGAGCCCGACGTGGGGCTTGAACTCACGGGCCGTGAGATCGTGACCTGAGCTGAAGTCGGACGCTTAACCGACTGAGCCACCCAGGCGCCCCCCTATAGGTGGTTTTTAAGGAGCCTAACATATAACTTGCCTTTCTCCACACCTGAATTTAGAATTGAGGGAGACAGAAGGACCCGGGAATTGGAAAACAAAATGTCAGTTTTCTTCTTGAGACAGCCATGGGAGAATCTGGCTTAGGTGAGATGGGCAGCAGTCATGGGTTTCCTATGCCTGGGTCCTAGAATTAGACGTGCTCCTGGAAAAGCACAGGACTTCTTTTGTGGGGGCTCCTTTTACCACTAAGCCTCCCACTGTCTGGGGCCAGCTGGAAGGGGTGCTCCCCGAAGATATCTGACTCCACACAGGAGAGAAGGAGTGTGCTATGCCCTACAGAACTCCTGCTACCCTAGATATCAATCATCTAGAGAATGTCCTCTTCTTGTCTAGGGAGAAAGAAAGCTGGAGTGTTGAGTGAAGCTTCTTTTTTTTTTTTTTATTTTTAACGTTTATTTATTTTTGAGGGAGAGAGAGAGTGGGGGGGGGGGAGGAGCAGAGAGAGAGCGAGACATGGAATCCGAAGCAGACCTCAGGCTCCGAGCTGTCAGCACAGAGCCCGGTGTGGGGCTTGAACTCACAAAGAGTGAGATCATGATCTGAGCCGAAGCCGGATGCTTAACTGACTGAGCCACCCAGGCGCCCCTCTAGTGAAGCTCCCTTTAAGTGGAAGGGAATACCAAGCCTGGAGTGGAAGAATCTGCTACCTTAAAAGACAGTCCATGATATATTCATTTCATAAAACATATATAAATATATGCCACACACATGCTAAAATTTTTTATTGATTATACTCAGTGAAAACTGATGATGACTATTGTAAGCTACACGCTACACGTGTGGCCAATTTTCATGCAGTTAAAAGGAAGCCAGAGGACATAGTGAATTGTAGGATCTGGGCCCCGAGTCTTAAGAGGAGGTGAATCTAGACTTTATTAACTTGACTTAGAATGCTCTGAATACTGCTATTAACTTAAAGTTATCTCTAAAGGAGAATTTGGTTATGAGGGAGAACACAAACTGCATTCCTGGAGGCTATTTTCTGAACAGTTTCCTACATGGGGCAATTTCACTGTGGAGAAGCCCATTCAGATTGCTTCAGGTTAGACCAATAGCCAATAAGAAACCTCCACGTTCACGAGCAGCTCCCCATTCAAGGAAGTATTTTGTACTGGTGATGCTGTGAATGTCAGCATTGAGGACTGGGTTGCGGTGCGGGGCAGAGTCACAGCTGGAGTCAGGGTGACGAATCAGCTAAAAATGGTGGTTCAGACAGAATTCAAGGGAGAGTTGAACTGCAAACTTTGACATTTTCCAGAGTTTATTGCATGAAACCAAGCTCCTGCTAGATGCCCTGTGAATGGTTTCACTGTCAAGTCCGTTTGAGGGACCCACTATAAATAACCCCCTCTCAGCCGTTCACACTGCATGTTATTATATGAGGCTTTGAGACATCCTGTAATAAGGGAGCTATTTAACTTTACTTAACCCAGTGTTTCTCAAGTTTCCCCATCAGTGTCTTATTTCAGGATATCTGTTAACATTTGTTCTGGAAAACACTTTGAAAAATGCTGAATGGAGGGATTACAAATTTGGAAGCTGCGATGGTTTATTAAATTCACAGGCTTTGGAGCTAGATATTGGATAGTTCATCCTCTTACTAGCTGTGACCACAGATAAACTTAATCTCTCAGACTATTAATTTCCATCCATAAAATAGGCATAGCAATTCCTACCCAGAAGAACGGTAGAGGAGGCTTAAGAGATAATTATCTGTAAGGTACCCAGCCAACAGCATGTTCTCAACAAAAGTTAGACCTTTGCCCTTAATTACAGAGTTAGGTTTAGGGAAGAGAAAGTATTCCTTGAACAAGATTTTGAATCCAGGAAATAGTTATAGCAGGATGAGATATGTGCTTTGATTAGCATGCGGGAGGGGGCATAGTATGGCATGAGAGAGTCAGCTTTAGGACGAGACAGCACGCACTAGCTATGTGAGACTTTGGTCCCATGCCTTCACATATAAAATGCGGACATCTACCTTCTAGAGCATTTTGAGGATGAAATCAAAGTGCATGTAGTGTATCCCACAGGCCTGGACCATAGTAAATGCTCAGAAAAATGAGGGTGACATTGCTAATAGTGTATGAAGCACCATTTGCAACACTTAGACTACGCCAGGCAATGTGCTGAGTCTGGCCATTTCTCAAAAGCGGAGCATGCAGACCATTTCCTCACAATGTACTTTTAAAGGATGCAGTTTCTTGCTGATTCTGACTTTCAGGGGGTGCAGCCCAGGGGGTGATTGGGAGGCATGGGTTGCAAGATGGTGAGGAATCACACCTGGACCAGATGGATACTAACTAGAGAAGTGATGGACGTTAAACACCTTGGATTCGGAGAAGAGTGGCCGCATGACCTGGGTCTTAGACACACAGCTTTACCATGACCCCTTACAGGAAGGAAGAGAGTGTGTGCAGGTGTGTGCGTGCAGGTGTTTTGTGCAAGCTGGGTCATGTTTGGCCTGGCACTTCTTAAACAGTATAAAGGGAATGGCGAATGTACCAGTTCCAACTGAGTCCTGAGGGCAATGGGGTAAGAACCCCCCCCACCGAGAGAGTCAGCCAGGTTTGGTTCCTGACCACGGTCCAATCCCATCCCATCAGGGTCAGGTGCCCCTGCATGCCTGCTCCAGGAATCCCATGCCCTTACCACTTGTATTCTTACGAACAACCACAATTAGTTTGGAAGATTTGGGAGAAAATGCTCCCAAGCGGGGGAGGGGGCTGAAGCACATGATTTTTTTTTTTTTTTTTTTTTTAAATGGGAACAGAGACTAATACACAAAGGACCATTATCCTTAAGCAAGGTCCAGAAGGTAATTGCATTCTTTGAAATCTTTCATCCAAGGGAGGGTGAATATCAAATGTAAATTTCCCCTTTTGATGTTTTCTGTTCAGGGACTCTGTTGGTTCTCTTCTTCTCTCCCTAGGAAGGTGGGTGGCGGTGTCATTTTGTTTAATGATTCACCTGAGGCCAAGGAGGCTGGGGGTAGGTTTGGCCTTGCCTGTGCCCTTGGGAAGGTGATAACTCGTCAGACAATGCCCTCCCTCTCCCCAGAGCAGATGGCTTGGGCAGTCCCCACAGCCCAAGCGTGGCTGCCCCTCCCCTCCCCCCCACACTCTTGCCCATGGGTAGGCAACACCAGCAAGAGGTTCAAGGCACCTTGGATGTGCTAAATTTTCCACCCTTAGGCACAGAGCTGAGGATATGTGGGAGATACCCAGTGAACACAAGGATGTTTTCCCTTAATTTCTGGACATTGTGATGCAAAGAATCAAGATGAACTAGGAGGCTGACAGAGAAGTCCCCCCTCTTGGCCAAACAGCTCACAGGCTTCTGTTCTTTGATTCCCCAAACTCAAGCCCAAAATGCCAGGGCACGAAGCTATGTAATTCTTCTTTAGCCAAATAAAATTCGTAGACACTGCATCTTCACAATGAAGCTTGAAACCAGTCAAGCACTTTTTTATTAAAAAAAAAAAAAAAAGAAAAAAGAAAAAAAGTCTAATGGTATATAGTCTATACATGCTACAGCTAAGTGTTCACCACCCTCCCCCCCTCACATTACATATCCTCGTGTATTTGTGTGTGTGTGTGTTAAAAGGAAACAAAAACCACCACCAGAATTCGTCAGTTTGCCAAGAGGGTATGAGGAGTGCTGTGACATTCAGGGATCTCCAGTGTCACTCCGTGAGCAGACAGGAGGCGGTGGGGCAGGGTGGTCAGAGCTCCCCTGTTCCTGGAGGGATGTGAGAGATGGCCTAGTTGTTGGTGGCGCTCGGAAGCAAGAAATGCGGGGATCGCTAAGGTGACCGTAGTTTATCATCTCCCCTGGACGAGTGAAAGGGGCACTATTAACAGCTACATGGGCACAAAGGCATAGACAGGCACGCACTGGGATAAAATACGGACACCTCAGCTGTGTTAGAATTGCTTATTGCTGTAACAAGCCTGGTGGGGGCACCTCCTTTTGTACGTTTATAGAAGACCTAGAAGGGAAGGCTACTGGCTGTAGCACTGGGTTTGGCCTCTTCAAGGATAACAGCAGTCGAGTCACTGAGAGGCCTAATTTGGAGGAGGGATGCAGACAGGAAGGAAGAGGGAAATGCTGAAGCGTGATGAGGGTGTGGATAGCTTGGCAGGGTAGCACCAGAAAGCAGACATTACCCTACGAAGCTGGACGTTCAAGTCTGTGGGAAAGGGTCCTCAGCAGGTGGTCCATGAGCAGGTGAGGACCACGGAGCCTTCTGGGTTTTCGCTCTGCAGTGCTGGGACTGGTCCGTCTGGGACCCCGGCTGTGGTCCGTCTCAATGTCAGAACCTCAGCCAAGTTAGGAGCAATTCCTCCAGGCGAACAGAGGGCATCCTACACCCTCAGGCCTCAGTGTGAGCCAATTTCCCACTCCTCCAGGCCACAGAGTTTGACATTAGGTAATCTTTGGTCTATGGTGTGGTGTGGCTGGTTTGCAGCAGAAGCCTGGACAACCAAGGGGGAGGGATAGGACTGCAGTGCAGGGCTCAGGCTGTCCCATACCCACTGACGCAGTCCAAAGAGAAGGGCGAGACCTCCCAGGGAGCAGCCTGACCCAACACTTAAGAGACTTGGGCACAATGAAAGGATGGCAGCCAAGCCCCGGATGTTCCTGTTCCTGATGATGTCGAATTACCAGCTACTTGAAGGCAGGAGTGACTTCTTGATCCCACACAGTGCTTTGTACTTGATAGAGGCTGTAAAAATACTACACAGTGCGTCCCTCAGCCTAAGGACCATCCAGATCCTGGGGAGATATGGCACCTGCCCTTTCACGAGGCAAGTTTGTTTTCCTACGTTTCGCCTGGTAGTGGGATCCTCGGTGGGCTCAGAAATGTCTTAAGGCCAAGGACTTTGCCTAAGAGATTGGTTACATGGGAAGGCCTTGTGGTGGAGGCTTAAGATGATTGATTAATGGGAGCTCATGTGGGCTCCAGCAATTTTCAGCAGGGTAGGGCGTTAACAGTGGTCCAAGCGAGCGCCCAGCTCCCCCGTCTCAGCCTGGGACAGTGACATAAACCCACCAAATGGCAGAGATTTTTTGCAAAGGCCTAGTCTGCCAAGTGGTGATCCTACAACTCAGATTTTCCAGAGAGTTGGTGGCACTGTAAGCTGTGGTTTGGTCGTAGGACGTAGGCTGAAACAGTCATCACGAGGAACGAAGTAGGGGTGAGAAAAGAAAAGAAAACAAAACCCACCTCCGCCTGCCTTTGGCCTGTGGCCTACTGCTACGTGTGATCACGAGGTGAGGGGAGGAGAAACCGAAATTATGAGCGAGGGTGACCCGCTTCACGCACATTTCATTGCCATTGGCAGAGGAAAAGTCCCAGGACCTGGGGAGAGAGCACCCGTGGACGCGAGTCTCAACTCGATCACAACTTGAATGAAAACTGGGCACGTGGCTTCACCCTGTGAACCTCAACTTTCTCTCCACCGCTCAGGGCTGATCCTATGCCCTCACAGGGCTGTCGTGAGGGTTAAGTTAAAGGAAGGAGTTTAAGCACCAGTGACCTGCCCTGAGCGTGGCATGGGAGTTTTAACTGTGGTCTTGGGCATTTTTCTGTGGGCATCACCTCAGGGGAGTTTTGCATAGGCTTCACCAATTGCTCGCAGAATGGTGGCCACCGGGCTGAATGCTGTAAACCTAAGTTCCCAAGCAAGGACAGCTAGGGAGAGCCACAGGGCCATCAAGACCCCCTACTGCCAGTTGCCTGAGGAAGGGCCCACCACTGTGGCAAACGGAGCCGGCCCGAGAGAGGAGTCCTCAGGCCCTAGACGTGTCCTGAGCAAAGAACGGTGAACAGAGAGGAATGTGGTTTCAGTACCTTCGGTTCGCGTCAGAATAATACTAATAACAAAAAAGCAAATTCTTTCATTTGCAGGACCACTTCTGCCCACAGGGAGGTGGAACCAGTCTGTTCCCACCCAGCGGACCTTCGGGAGGAGGGAGCGGAGCCAAAGATAACCCCTTCAGTGGAATCAGCAAACAAAAGCCAGAGCTCTTAGAGCCGGGCTTGGAGCCACACGTATCCTGGTGTACCCAGTGCCTAGCACGTGGTAGGCACTCACAAAATACTTGGAAAGGTCAACGGAAGCAGAAGTGAATCAGCAAAAAAGAGACCGAGTTCTGTCTTTGGAAATGTAGTCAAATCCTGCATAACAGCTTCATAAAAGCTGTTTAAACCAAAGTGGGTCAAAAACTCTGAAAAGCATGCTACGGGCTCGCTCCCTTCCAAATGAGGGGATGTCAAAAACGTGGGTGGCCCTCTCCCGGCTCCCCCTTTTCCTGACTACTGTCCTTCCCCACGGTTCTGGGCAGAGGGCCAGGGGGCAAGTGGGCACCGCCAGAAGCACCCCGGGGCCCTGCCCAGGGTCCACGGACCGACTGAAGGAAGGAATAAAGACGCTACTGTGACTCAGGACGCTCCTTCTCCCATAGAAGCATCCAGAGCCCACGTGGCAGCGCGGGCAGCGGAGAGCAGAAGGGGGCTGTTTGCACAGAAGTCTTTGGCACTGCAGGGGGACAGTGGGCGTCCCTGGGAAAGCTGGCCCCGTGGTCCCCAAAGCATCACCGCAGACGATCACTGAATTGGGAGATCGCCGAGCAGGATCCTCTTCTGCAGGGTAGGGTGGGTAGCTGTGCCTCCGTGAAGCATAGCTGTCCGAATGGGTGGAAGTGAGATGACAGGGAGGGAGAGTGCATGCAAAAAAAAAAAGAAAGAAAGAAAGAAAGAAAAATTGCTCTGTGAATGCCAGAGAGGAGCAGGAAGCAGCAGCAGAGAGGGCCGGGAGGCGTCTGCCTGTGGAGATGCAGCTGCTGGCCCCTGAGCCAGCAGGGCCCCTCAAGGCTGGCACGTGAGACCATCTGAGCTCCCTTGGCTCCACGAGCTTTATCCCCCAGAGCGGGCAGCAGCACAGGAGGAGGAAACAGGGCCCTGTGGCAGCCGCCAGAGCCCTGGGCATCCCCGCGTTGCCGAGGAGTAGCTGTCCACGGTGTAGGGCAGCCTTCGGTGCAAGCTGTGATGGGTTGGAGGCGTGGTGGGTGTGGGAGCAGCTACTGGCGCCCACAGCACGAGGAAGCCCTTGGCCACCTGCTCCTGACACTGTTAGCTTCTTCCTTTCCCCTGCCTGGTTAGCCTCTTACTGGGGGGAAGGGCACCGGCACCGAAGTCACACTAGCTCGATTCAAGTCCTCGTTCTTCTTCTGCCCAGCTCGTGTGCCCCTGGGCACACTGAGTCTGAGGTTCTTTGTCCGTAAAACAGGTATACTACAAGAGAGGGTTGATGTGAGCGTTAAAACATGAATGTAAAGTGCCAAGTACAGAGTCTGGCACCTACTAGCTACTCACAAGGGGCATGGATTGTGATTAGCTCCTTTCAAACCGACTTTGCGATTCTTGCTCTACGGAGACAAAGTGAAATGCCCCATGGTGGGGCGGGGATTCCTATTTAAAAAGCCCTGCTGTGGGAAAGTGAAGCGTGCTGGGGCTGGGACCATGCCCTCAGGATCAGTCAGGGTCCCAAGACAGAAGATGGGAGGCAGAATGGCTCAGCAGACCTTCAGGTCCACTCCTGGGACAGCTGCATCTGGTCAAACCTGAGAGGCTCCCGGGCCCCGAGCCTCGAGGAGGACATCTCCTTGGGATTGGCAATGGAGCCAACTTCCAGGGGATGGAGTTCTTTCTGGTACCAGGCATTTTGGAAACCGAGTAAATAAAGTCACTGGGATTTTAGAAACACGGAGAAGTTGGGGGCCAGCCATCACGTACTGGGTGGGGTGCCAGCAATGAGAGACCCTTTCTGCAGTTTCCAGATCATGGGTTCTGGTCTTGGAGGCGTCGGGAGAGTCACGGTCCCGCTGCTAGGTGGCCTACACAGGGTGGCAATGCCACCGGCCTTAAGGCAGGGATGCTGGCTTGGAGAGGAAGCAGGGGGTGTGGCCTCTGACCCTCTGAGCCTCCAGGGAATGCTGTGATGGGAGGGAAGAAACCACAGTACTCCAGAGCCTTCCTTCCTTTGAAGCTGCATGAAGGTTGATAAATTAAGAGGCATATTAAATATGTGGGTAAAGCCAGCAGGGATGCACGGGACCGCCACACAGGGAAGGAGGTGGCTACGGCTTCTTTCTGAGATAGTTGGAAGGAATCCACCCTTCCCAGGAAGGGGCCCCGCTCAGGACCTGGCAGAACCACCAGCCACTGCTGTTCTTTTCCCGGACCTCGAACACCGTCCCCTCCTGGAAGCTGCTGGTATCTTCGTCTCCTTCAAAGTTGGCCACAGCCACATATAAAGAGTCCTTCGGGCCATCTGCATTGGGGAAGGGGGTTGCGGCTACTTTCTCCCTGTTTTCTCCCATCTTGCCCGCCATCCGTGGTACCGGACCACCTTTGCTTCTCATGTCGTCTTGGCCAGCTGAGGAATTGGAAAGGAAAGGTTTGGCTTTAGGAGGGACCAGCAGGGCCCGGCCTGGGGCAGGAGCTGTCTTGCCTTCGTTGGCTTCCCGTTGTGGTCCTCTGACATCTGGGAGGGGCCTGGAGGATGAGGTGGTTTTCTTGGGGGGCGGTGGTCTGCGGGGCAGGACCACGGGTCTCTGCGGGGAAGCCTCCTGCAGTGGGGCGGGCACACTCTTAGGCACAGGATCTGCGGTCTTGGCTGGCCTCGGAGGGGCTCTGCAGGACATCTCCTTTGGGCTGAGCCCATCCTGTTTGGCCGTCCTGTCCTGGGTGCGGCCAGGCCCGTCGCCTGGGAGGAAGCCCCGGCTGAAGGCTGCATCTTGGCCCCCAGCAGGCTGGTGGCCGCTCTCTCCATCTAGTAGGGGTTTCTCTTGGGACTTGGCAGGCCTCAGCTTGCTCCTGAGGTTGCAGATGTCTACTTGGTCTTCGCCCTGAGGTGGCTCTGTCCTGGGGGAAGGAGTTGGTTTGGGCCTAACCTGAGGTTTGGACTTCAAGAAGGGATTCTGGGGAACAACTTCCGGCTTCTCCTCTGGTGGCTCAGCTTTGGGTCTGGAGATGGGTCGGAGGTTGGGCTTCTTCACTTCCTTGGCCAAGACCTTGTGGCCACACTCCAGCCCCATCTCGTTTTTCAGCTGGAACAACTTGCTTTTGTCAGGTTTGGGCTCTGGTCTCCTGCTGTCTCGGGACGGGGGGGTATGTTTGGCTGGAATCATGGGCAAAATCATGCCCGGAGGCTTGGGTGAGGAGCCCCGGAGTTGTTCCATCCTCTGCCGCCCCCTCTCCTGCAGCTCCCCTTCCGACTTGACGATGGATTCTTTCCGGGGAGGGAGGCTGGGCTTCTCCTCCAGGTCGGGGCTTGAGATCTCTTCGTAGCCTGCGCACGAGGACATGTCGGAAGATGCCTTCCTCAGGACCTCCTTGCCGCCCTTCCAGTCTTTGGACCACGGTATCCCGGAGTCCGCGGTACCATGTGGCGCGTCGGGCAGGGGCCGGGAGGGGCCGACGGCTTCACTGCCCGTGTTGTTCTCCGCTGCTGCTGCGTCCCCCAGACGGAGCTGGGTCACCTCGTTGGGCAAGGGAGCCAGGAAGTTGGGTCTTGAGGCATTGCTTGTCTTCTTATACTTGTCAATGAAGGTGGCTGGGGCCCACCCTTCCTTATCTTCGATCTGAATGTACCACCAGCCACTCAAGTTCTTCTCGATCACCTGGAGGGAAAGACAGAGGAGAGCATTTAGTAGGGATGGTCTCAGGGCCAGTGGACTAGAACAGTCTGGGAGAACCCACATGTGACTGGATTCTGAAAGCAAGGACTTTTCACTCAGCAGATCCCCAGACAACGGCTGCAGTGGACCATCTATAGAGACCTTACTGTGGGTCAGAAACATCTTACATGGGGGTAGGTTCTGGTCTAATCTTGGATATCCCCCAAAGCAGTCCTGGAGACATGGACTTGGGTACAACTAATTAATCTGAGAGGTGATTTCAGGAGGTGCAAGTGAGAAAGTGGGAAAAGAGAGCCAATTAGGAGTATGTTATTGTTTCGGGCCACGGGGGCTTAATCTGCCAGGACCCTTTGAGACCATGCAGAACTCATCCCAACTTGGGGGGTGGGGACATTTATCTCCTGATTCCTAGTCCCTGCTCCCTCCCACCACCCCCAGGGCATTAATCCCCTGGCCTCTCTGGGTGGTGCCCTAACGGGGGTGTAGGAGATGGGAGGCTGTCATATTCAGGGACCTGTGTGCGGCTGCAGGAGGGTCGGGCTGCAGGACAGGCCACCGGCAGTGTCTGCTCCAATTCCACACTCAGCTCATCTTTAGACAGAGGGGAACCTCTGCTGATGAAGGTAAAAGAAACTTTTATCTCTTCTCCTTCTCCCTCTGGGACAGACACCCATGGGTGGAATCACCCATGGTATTTAAGATCTTATGTTTCCTGTCTCCTTTTTGTTCAGTATCATATGGCTGAATTGACTGGAAGGTGTGTATGTTGCATGTTATGGGCTAAAGTGTGCTCTCCTCTCTCCAAATTCATAGGTTGAAGCCCCAGCTCCCATGTCTTAGAATGTGACTGCATGTGGAGATAGAACCTTCTAAGAGGTAATTAAGTTAAAATGAGGTCATATGGGTGGGCCTTGATCTAACATGACTGGTGTGCTTATAAGAGGAGATTAGGACACAGAGAACACACAGACTGAGGGACGACCACGTGTGAACACAGTTAAGAAAACAGCGGTCTCTAAGCCAAGGCGAGAGGCCTAGCGAGAGACCAAATCTGCTAACCCTTTGATCTTGGACTTTCAGCCTCCAAAACTGTGAGGAAATAAACCTCGGTTGTTTAAACCACCCAGCCTGTGACATTTCGTGGCAGCAGACTAAGCAAACCAATATTCTGCAGTTCCCTGGCAGGCCCCCTCCACAGGAGACCCGATTAATGCTTGCAACCGCTGTGTGAGATGGGGATTATCATCCCATTTTACAGATGCAGAACTGAGCCTCGGGACAACTGAGGGACTTGCAGAGGGTCTTGCGGAAAGTTAATGGAGGAGGCGGGAGCGAAAGGCAGGTGTGTGCGTTCCAGAGCTGGAGCCTTTACCACTACGCGACCATGGCCGCCGGGAAAGGGGACCTGTCTGGGGAGGAGCTGTATTCGAGGTGAGAAAGTGCTGGGGGCAGAGAGGGCCACGGGTGCAGTCCTGCCGCCGCGCTCCTCAGCCCAGCCTAGCGCAGGAGGCAGAGGCCGGGTTCTGAAGCCCGCTTTGTGGGTTCCAGTTCTGGCTCCACCTTTTATCGCCTGCGTGGCCCGGCACAAGCCGCATGCTTGAGATTCCACAGCGTGAGATGGAGGACGGTGGCGAGAACAAGAACACCCCTTACAGGATTTTCAGGAGGACTGCATAAGCGAATGCACACAGTGGCCCTTGGTCAATGCCGAAAGGTAAATGTTCCCTATTATTAAATTACAGTGGAGATCACTGACAAGGCAGGATGCATGTGACAAGTGTATATTTAACAAGCCCTGCTGGTCTCCCAGAAAGGGTATTGATACAGGCAAGCCCTTTGCGTGAGGGTGACCAGCATCTCCCTGACACCCAGTGGCTCTGGTAATAATTAAAGGTGACTCTGGGCATACAAGTCACTGTCGGCACACCCACGAATTCAACCACTCCAAGTGTGTACATGAGAAAATGAAAACAGGACGATAATCGCGGCGAAATACATCAATGAGGATTTGCTAAGCTTACGCTCTATGCAAAGTCCTACGGCAGAAGCACTCAACATGTGTGTTCTTGATCACAACTTACGGGAGTTTTCATTTACCAGAGGGAGGCCGAGAGCTATCATGAATAAAAGCCAATGCCAAATCACAAGAATGAAGGGGAAGGAAAAAAGCCTGGGCTTTAACGCCAGAGATGCCTGGGTTCAAATCCCAGCTCCACTTACTAGCAATACAACTCTGGGCAGTGGACCTAACCTCTCTTTGTCTCAGGTGCATCTGTAGAATAGGCTGAAGATATCGACCTCTTGGGACTTCTGTGAAGACTGTTATCAAGGGCGTAAGGTCCCCGGCACAGAGAGGTGCCTCTATCATCATCATCATCAGCAGCAGCAGCAGCCGCACATGTTTTGAACATACACAGACCACGCAGGCAAGTAAGGTGATCCTGGGCATCGTGTTGGAACACTGTGGCTCCATTAACGAAATCTGAAGGCTAAGATGAGATTGAAATGAGCCAGGAAGCAAAGTGGGGGAGAAAGTAGAGGATACAGAACTGCTCATGAGAAAAGAATACTTGGGTAAGCCAAAAGCTTTAGTGGCTTCCCACCGGAGGCCCCCAGGCTACCACTGGCAGAGCCATATGCTGACATCATGGAACAACGAGCAGTTAAGTTTCAAGGTTGGGTTATGTCTGTGTTTTCTGGAAAAGAATGTCGGGTATGTGAGCTTTTAAAATGGATCAGCTTTAGCAAAGAGAGACAGGATAAAGGCCAGAAATAAAAAAGGGGACTGGTTCTAGTTGAAGTGGGGGGTGGAGACTGGTGGGAGGCACCCCAACACCCCCAGGAAACTCCAGGGATCCATGAGCTCCCGGCTGCACGCAGAGTCAGCCCTCAGCTTTGGCGCATGGTCCACGACATCCTGAGCTGCGCTTGGCTGATTTCAGAACATTCTGAGCCAGGTAGTGGTGGTGCCTGTCGGCAAATATTGTTTGCCGACGTGCTTAAACAACGGTGTGTGTGTGTGTGTGTGTGTGTGTGTGTGTGTGTGTGTACAAAATGCTGGAAACTTATTGTCTTGAAGGAGAAGGTGGTTTTATCATATTTTTCAGCACTCCGAGGAAAAGAAAACCAAACCTTTATACTATGCAAGTTGGATTTCTGGTTTTGAGAGGAGGGTGAATAGCAGCTTCCCCTCGATGCAAAAAAGCCAGGGAAATAAATGAATACAAAGCCAAGCTCAGAAGGAGGAAGGGGAGAAGTTAGCAGACCAGGAATTGTGAGGACTCACAGATGGACAGAGGCAGCAGAGGGAGGCTGTGGCCCAGGGCTGCTGCAGGGGTACCTGCCACCAAAGGTGGAGCAGGGCTGAGGTCTGCCAGACTTCAAGGTGGGGGAGCCTGGGAACAGGGTGCCCAGGAGCAAGCAACAGGGGATTAACTGAGATACCAGAGCAGAAGCAGCCAGGTTGGTTGATTCCTCACAGCCCTTCTTGCCATTCTTTTAGGGCAGGCAGAGTAAAGAAGGTGATTGCTCATAAGTGGAAACGGAATGTGAGAGCTTGGGTCAGAGAGACCCCACACTATTCAGTGGCTGGCTTGGAAGTCTCCAACCTAGCACTGGAACTGGTGGGAGCTGACCAGCACTTTGTGTACAAGCCCCCTCTGGACTGTCTGACTGCTGCCTCTTCTTGCACAGCCCAAGGCAAGTACTAACACCATGAGAAGAATGGAAATAAACCAACAGCACTGCAAAGGATATACGGCTGAGAAAAGAGATAATGGACTATAACAGTAGGACCTTAAATTCAACATATTTAATATTCTCAGAGCATGACAGAAGGGCATCAAATTTGCGAAAGAACAGGCTCTGCTGAAACAAGAACAGGCGCCCGGGAAAAAGAATCATTACTGCACTCTCAGAAACGCAAATAATTGTGGAAATAAAACCAGCAACAGACTGAACTGTTAAACAGCAAATGAACGAACTAGAAGATGAGGCACAATGCTGGGGCACCTGGGTGGCTCAGTCGGTTGGGCAACCGACTTTGGCTCAGGTCATGATCTCCTGGTTGATGAGTTCGAGCCCCGCATCGGGCTCTGTGCTGACAGCTCAGAGCCTGGAGCCTGCTTCAGATTCTAGGTGTCCTTCTCTCTCTGCTCCACCCCCCCGCTTGTACTCTGTCTCTCTCTGTCTCTCAAAAATAAATAAACGTTAAAAAAAAAAAAAAAAAAAAAAAAGATGAGGCCCAATGCTCCAAGAAGGCAGCACCAAGGGACAAAGATGGAAACGTGAAGAAAAAGTCAGGAGACGTGGAGAACAGGGCAGAAGGTCACAAAGCTGTTTAATAACTATTCCAGGAGGAAAGAATAAAGAGGGTGAATGGAGGCACTATTTAAAAAAGTAAAAGTGGGGAACTCTCTAGGAAGATCTCGAGGCCTAGATCAAAAAGGCCCACCACAATGCTAAGCAGGTAAAAATAAAGAAAGTCACACCTAGACGCACTTTCGTGAAATCCAAGCATTTTAAAGATAACGAGCTCTTGCGAGAATCAGAGAAATGACAGATTTTGAACGAGAGAATAAGAATTAGGTAGGTAGTAGCTCGTGACCAGCAGCACTAGATGTGAGAAGAGAACAGAGTGATCTATGCAAAGTGCCAAGGGAAGGGAACTTTCAACTTGGATTACAAAACCCAGTCACTGAAGAAGAAGAAAACAACACTCATCTCTCATTATGTCAAGAAAGCATGTACAGAAGTGAGGGGCTTGCTCTCAGCTGAAGACTGAGACATAGGGCCCAGATAAGCCATACAGGGTAGGGAAGGGAAACCAATGTGAATCAGGGGAGGCTTCCTAGAGGATTTATTTATTTATTTATTTATTTTATTATTATTATTTTTTTAAATTTTTTTTCAACGTTTATTTATTTTTGGGACAGAGAGAGACAGAGCATGAATGGGGGAGGAGCAGAGAGAGAGGGAGACACAGAATCGGAAGCAGGCTCCAGGCTCTGAGCCATCAGCCCAGAGCCTGATGCGGGGCTCGAACTCCCGGACCGCGAGATCGTGACCTGGCTGAAGTCGGACGCTTAACCGACTGCGCCACCCAGGCGCCCCTTTCCTAGAGGATTTAAAGAATGAATTTGATTTTGAGATGCCAAGTTCAGTTCAAAAAATGGCCTTCAGTGCCTTTTGTTTGTTTGTTTACTTATTTATTTTGAGAGAGAGAGAGAGAGAGAGAGAGAGAGAGCACAAGGTGGGGAGAAGTAGAGAAAAAGAGGAAGTGAGAGAAAATCCTAAGCAGGCTCCACATGGTCAGCACAGAGCCTGATGCGGGGCTCGAACTCATCAACCTGGAGATCATGACCTGAGCTGAGCCACCCAGGCCCTGAGTGCCTTCTATGAGAAGGCAGGTGGAGTGCTAGGAGCTGGGTTAAAGCAAGGTCAGTCCTGGCAGAGAGAGTAAGAGAGCTGGAGAAGGGCCAGCTTGACCAGTGGGGTTCACAGAAAAGCTGTGGAAACAGGCTTTGGTCGGAGACACAGCCTGGGGTGTGAAAAGATGCTAGGAAGAAGGCACATGTTTCATGTCGAATCGGATGTATAGGTTTTACAGCAGCAAAATGGGGAACAGGGCATAGAATGATCTTTTAGCACAAATCAAGATGCCTTGAGTTCTCTGTAGATATGAAGTTGGAAAGGCCAGAAAGGCCAAAAAAAAAAAAAAAAAAAAGGCAAGAGGAACAGCTATGAAGTCTTTTTAGAACTTTGTGGGTATTTCTGCTTTCCCCTTAGTCTGTCTACCTAGATTGGGATTTGCATTTTATAAAATTAGCTGGAGAGACTTTAGCTCTCTGCAGATAGTCCTCCCTCAATGGGCTGAAAGACATTTGGTTGAGGATGACTTTCTGGAGATGCCTGGGAAGAATCGGTGGTGGAGAGGCCCAGGACGCAGCACCTTCGGGGAGCCACCTTCTGCTGAGCTGCCTGGGCAGCTGCCCCAGGGCATGAGGGGAAAGAGAGAGAGAGGCAGGAAGTGTCAGAGTGGGAGGGAACCAGCAGGTGCTTTGCAGAGCTCTTAGAGAGTGATTCAAGACCCTCAGGGCAACCACACTTGTGCACTGGCTCAACAGTCATCCATCTACTGCTTATGTCCTTCAATCAGCCAAACGTTCACTTCTAAAGCACCCACTACGGACCAGCCCCAATGCCAGGGCTGTGGGTAAGAATGAAGAAGATACTCCCCGGCCTTCTGAGAGTGTCAGGCAGGAGGCTAGTGGGGAGACAGATTTTCACTGAATCGACATTTCTTGCAAACCTACCACGTGCCAAGCACTGTGCTAGCTGTTAAGGACACAGGAGTGAAAAACAGATAAGGTGCCCGCCCTCCCGACATTCCCAAATGTCCAGCAGATGGCTAACAATAGGAGGTTAACAGTCCTGGCTCAAATCTGGAGACAGACATGGGTTCAAATCCTGCCTCTGCCACCTTTCAGCTGTGTGACTTTGGACAGCACCTTTTTTCCTGAGCCAAAGCTTCCTCATCTGAAAAATGGGGATTGTGAATGGTCCTGCCTCACCAGAGTAAATGATTAAGAGAGAGACTGTGTGTGAAGTGCTGAGCTCAGTGCCTGGCAGCTGACTGCTACAGCATTACTTCCAGGCTCTCCGGGAAATACCGGGCAACAGCCTCAAGCTCTGACTCCACGAGGAAAGGAGAAAGAAATGGAAGGAGAGAGAGGATTTATGTTGGCCTTGGTGCAGGAACAGAGCAGACAAGCAAAGGAGCGGGACGATATGATTCCACTTTTATGAAATGTTCACGCAGGCACAGCAACAGAGACAGAAAGCAGATTAGTGGCTGCCTAGGGCTGGGGGCAGGGGGGCTGAGAACAGTTGAGGGGAAACAGGGAGTGGCGGCTAATGTATACAGCCTTTCTGTTTTGGGTGTTGAGAACGTTCTAACACCGAATGTGGTTGCACAATTCTGTGAATATACTAAAAAACACTGGATTGTATACTTTAAGTCAGTGATGTGTATGGTGTGAATTATATATATCAGTAAAGCTGCCACAAAGAAAGGAGAGAAGGGAGGAAGGGAGAGAGGGAGGCAGAGAGGAAGGAAGAGAGGGAAGAGGGGAGGAAGGAAAAGAAGAAGGGAGGGAGGGAGGGTGAGGAGAGAAATGAGAGAAGCAGGAGGTGGTGCCGTCGTTCAAGAATCACAAGTAGGCAAAGGGACACCAGGTCCACTCACCTCGACCTTCAGACCCGCCTGGAAGCTGATGCCATCAGGGATGGTTGTCTGGAACTCAGCAATAGTGTAATACTCTTCCTCCACTTGGGGTGGAACGGGAGGCTTGGGCAGGTTAAGACCTCGAGGCTGGCACAATTAAACACAATGCTAAATCCAGGGTAAGTCCATTGCCATTGGCTGAAGGGGGGAGGCGCTAAGGGTCAGGGGCACACAATCACCCTCGAGGGGAGCTGGTGGACCCATTTGGATTCTAAGGGACAAAACACAGAGGACCATCTGTGCAGATCATCTCCTAGATGGTTCACTGGACCATCAGCTTCAGAGTGAGGAGGAGAAACATGGGACATTTACCTACAATCATGAAAATCTGGGGCAGGACAACAGTCTCTGAATTCAAGAGGCAGTGAGGGTTGTGGAAAGAACATGGGCTTGCAGGTCAGACCCATCTGGGTTGGAAATACTGCTTATGCGTGCTGTGCACCTTTGGACAAATCACTTCCCCTTCTGGAGCCTCAGTTTCATCTCCTGTAGAATGGGTATCTACCTGGTGGGATCACTGTAAGCATTCAACAGGTCCACGTAATGAAGCACCCAGCACACTGCAGGGTGCCCAACTGGTGCTCGATAAATGGTAGAAGGCTCAACTTTCAAAGTATTGGTTAGAAAAGGTACCTAAAGAATTAAAAACAGAGTCTGAAAGTAAAATACCAGAACGGCACCACAAATACTTATGCCTCATCCCAGCTTTGGTTTCGAGTTACCTTCTCTGAGAAGACTGACCTACAATAAAGCAAAGTGGGCTCAGGAAGCAGAGGGCACATCCTGAGACCTAACCGTGGCAGAGCCATAGGTAACTTGCATCACTCCCAGGGGACCCTAGCCTTTCCCCCTTTGACCAGACCAACACTTGTCTGGTCTGCGACACTTGTCCAGGCAGCTGTGTGGAAAGGCAAGAGAACATCTCTGGAAAGGGCAAGGTGGGAGTGAGGGGCCAGATTCGGATCAGGGCCTGGCTTCCCGGCAGCAAGGGTCCACTTACTATGGTCATATCTCGGCGAGGAGGGGGTCTCTGCCTCATCTTGGGCGATCCTACAAAGAGACGAGAGCTTACTGCACACACATGCAGAATTCTGCAGATGGAATTCTTCAGGGGGACACCAGGCAGGCATTCGTGAGCTGCTGTGACCCTTCTTGTGGGAAGAAACAGCCTGACTGGGAAGGAGCCGCTCAGACTTGGCTTGGGACTATGAGGACTGCCTGTGTGCCGGAGCGGCGTGCGGCTCTCCAGACAGGCCCCACGATGTAGGCTTCGGTGGAACACAGGCGTGGTAATGCCTGCCTGCCACCCAGGGGCAGTGGCAGAGATGAAAGGAAAGGGTGCAAACGAGGCCGGAGGCACCTGGTGGGCGTGCAATGTTAAACCACACGTAAACAGAACAAACAAATGTGGGCTGACGACATCAGGGGTTTCTACTCTGGAACTGGGCTGCCCTTGCTCTGAGTCTCAGGCTCAGGAGGATGACTGCGTAATGGTCCAGGCTCCTGGCTCAAGGCGGAACATGTGTTGTCCCCTGAGCTGGCTCAGCACAGGTCCACACGGAGGGCAAGTCTGGCAGCTGGGATGTGCTAATCTCTTAAATCCCCATCTCCCCTGTCTTCTGTTACAATTAGTTAGCGATGGAGTTTTAGCCTGCCTATGTAAAGACTGCACTTCCCAGACTCCCTTGCAGCTAGGTATTGCCATGTGACTAAGTTCTGGCCAGGGGGACGTGACAGAGTGGAGAGCATGTAGCTTCTGAGTCAAGTCCTCCACTCCTCCCTGCCTTCTTCACTGGCTGGACTAGTGGGGCACCACCCTGGACCAGCAAGATGAGGGCAACACAAGATAGCGTCTAATAAGACCTTTGACTGCACAGAGCTGCCCCAGCAGCCCTGAACGCAGAGCCGGACAGCTTTGTGAGAAAGAAATGAACATCTAAATGATCTGAGGCCCTGTTACTGGGCG